TCTAGAACATTGCGTTTTAAACAAAATATCACACAAAATTTCAAATAGGAAATCAGAATGTGTAAAGAGGCCGTAACAGTTTTTTGCAAACTAAACCTAAGCATGATTTTGAGAAATCGGCCCTGAGTCTAGGTACCAGTTGCTGAACTTACTGCTTGTCGGTCAGTTCCAATATGCCACTGACATTATTCCCGAAATCGCGGAGCTGGTGATACGAATCCGTGAAATTGAATATCCCACGGCGAGTCTTGGTCTCCGGACAAACGGTGACGGCGGGAAAGGGGATCTGCCACACGGGTGTGGACTTCTCGGCGAAACTGACAATCACCGGATTATTGTTCCACTTGTCCCAGATATTGAGGGTCAGCTTGACGCAGGTGAAGACCGACAGGACGAGGACACAGATCCAGAAGAGTCTCTCCAGCCAGGGTCGCTTCTTCTCGCCCAGATACCGGATGCCATGGATGGTCGTGTAGTCGCAATACTCGTGAATGATGGCCTTGGCCGCCTGGAAGCCGCTGCCGTACTTGATCTGCTTTTTGGTGTCCACCTCGTCCTCGCTGTCGTCGGATACGGTTTCGCGGAATGCCGGCGCCATGCGGGCCATCAGAGCGGCCCGCTTCCACTGGTTGGCGGCCGAGGGCAGCGGACGGACCGCCACCTCGTGACTGGGCGTATGGGGCTGTGTGCTGTCCGTCGACATCCGATCCGGCGTGCTAGAGGTACGTTGACTAAGTCAGCGGTGCGCACGCAAGACTCCGGCTTTTATATACGTCGTGCGGCGAGGTGCGGCTGTCCTGGGAGCTCCTCTTTGGATGGTGGAGAGCCCCTGGAGGATTGCGACTGCGGCACGCATACGATTCCACGTATTTTCGGCGCGGGAAGGTGGCGTTTTCGGTGGCGCTTTCAATTACTTCATTTCGCTAAGCTGGCGTAATTTGCAAGCTCGCACTGGAGTCCCCGAGTCCCAGGGGTTTGCGAAAAAAAACCCTCCAGAAGCCCCCCTCGTAATTGTCAACTCCGACCCACTGCCCGGTAACTAAATGTTACCTTTGAGCCTGCACTAGGCGAGGCATTCTAATTAGCCAGTGCGCACTTTAAGCTCGCCAAGCCCTGGGTCACCAATGCCACATAGGAGGCACTGCCAGTGCGCCACCGCGACAGGTGCAGCCGAATGGCCGAGGCCAAATTGAAAACGGCCACTTTCCGGCATCCCGGACTTATGCATTTTAAATCCCGGCCTCCACTCGACGCCACTTGACTGCAGGCGCTTAGCTCGACCTCGAAACAAAATGGCAAGCGGCTGCAGACGGCGACAATGTCGAGTCAAATCCTCAGGTTAAACACGGTGCCAAAACGTAAGTCGGGGAAAACTTATATCAACAACTTGGGAATACCCTCACCAACTATTAAAAACTTTAAGTCATTACAGCTGGTGGAATTATAGCTAAGCATTTCTTTAGCTTATAATGTTAAATAGTGTGACCTGATTTATTTCAAATATTTTACATACCCACAACAAATGTCATTCTATTGACGATGCAAATAAGACAGAATCAGCGCCATCTGGCGGTGAGGTTTATTTATCTGCTAGCGATGACCAACTTATGAATAATGAATGTAATTAGAGTTTGAAAAATACATTATTTTTAAATATAATTAACAAGCTTTAAACTACAATATTTCGTTTAAAATTAAAATCAAAATAAAAAATAATTCCATAAATTAATTAAATTAGACAATAAACATATTTTAAATCATTTTTTTTGACGATTTTTCCGTCATCATTAATTTAACATAATGAAAAAATTTACACAAGGTCAAATAATCTAAAATTGCGAAACAGCAAACACAAATAAGAAGGTAAAAAATCTCTAATTCGTCAAAAATAATGAAAAACGTTGCTTTAAAAACATTCCGGTGCTAACATACAAATACCCTTTAATAAGAGTACAGAATATAGTCCAATGGCCAACGGCAAGGACAAAACAAAAAGAAATCTCCGACAGGGAACACCGCACAACACGATGCGACCATTTTGGTTGCGCATTTTAATAAAGTGAACTGCATTCGGGGGCATTGTGTCTAATTTTCGGAGGACCTGGTGCCAGCGGCCAAAAAGGAAAAGCGTAACTCACCCTTTGTTGCGACTTTTCATTATTGTGACGTTGTGCCTTCAACAATGTTGGCATTGTCCTTGCACTTGCTGTTACCTTTCCTCTTGCCAGCCGTAAATATTTACACACTTCTCTGTCTGGCAGAGTCTGGCGATCGTCATTTATTTTAATGAGCAGCGAAATAGAATTTCTGATGCGTCGTCGAAAATGAAACTGAGAAACGTCGCTTGATTTAAGAGAATAAGTTCAGCAAATGCTTTCCCCTTCCGGCGAAACCCAGTAAAAGACACGATTGATTATATATCTGTATATATATATATTTTTTTTTTTTGGTATTCCCATTTGCATAATACATTTCTTTTGTTGGTTTATATGCTTTAGCTGGAGGACATTGAATTGAATGTTGTTACTGTTTACAAATTGTTTGCTTGGTAAGTACATAATACGTTGATTATCCTATTTACATAGCCGCTACTTTTGATATAGTTGTTACAGAATATGGTCGCTATTAATATTACGCATATTTGATTATGATTCTAGATAATATAGCAAGTATATCCGAATTTGTTTTTGAAACACCTGTTGTCACTATGCTACTTTTGATATACAATTTGCGTGGGTTATTTTTGCTTTCGACTATGATTAAGTTATTCCGTAAATTATATCCAAAATATAAACATCGGTTAATTAACAATGACCTTATAATTTCATAATTTGTAACCTTGTAATTGGTATTAACTATATACAAAGCTCGATTACCGTTCAATATGCACCACCGACTGGCGGTGACAGTTTAAGCTTTCCATAATTTTACCTATACGTTCACTTATGCAGTTTTGAAACCCAAATAAATACTCCCGTTTGAAACGCTGAACCCAAAGGACATGCAAACAACACAAACACAAAGGCGTTTACAATTACAATTACAATTACGAATACAAATACATTACATATAAACGTACACATGGCTGTAATTGATATAGCTACCGCGCAGTACACTATTAATGGCTGCTCGTATGTCATATCTATGGCTAATTTAAAATGATATGTTTTCCGTAATTATCCGTTATCCGTTCCACTTGTTTTTGTTTCTTTTCTTTTCTTTCTTTTTCTGACCTCTCAGCCTTCCTCCAAAGTTAGTCTGTTACAAAAATACTGAAGAAATTGCACTTTTATCGGATTACGACAGCACAAAACACCACTCCAAAAGGCAGCCCTTTTGAGCCGGTTTGCCCTGCTCAGGAGCATTTGACCCCCTCTTTGACCTTTGACCTATTGTGGTGCGAGGGCCAGGCTCAAGCTGTTCGATATCAGGCTCAAAGCGTTGGCAGTGGGTGCTGCGGTTGGCCCTGACGCTTCCTGGAAATGCAAGAAATAGGATTTCAAAATGTTTAAAATTGGAATTAATTTTAGGATTATTAAAAAAACTCTCCATTTAAATCTTAATCAAATTAAATATACTTTATACATAAGTAGATGATTATTTGAAAAAGTAAAAGGACTAAGAAATTCGCAAAAAACACAATAATGGTTATTTTTGAATTTTTTACTATACGTTTTTTGATTTTAAGTCAGTTTTTTATAAATAAATAATAAATAATAAGTTTTTTAAAAATAAAAATAGCTTGTAGATTTGTATAGGTAAACTTAGTGTAATTCGCAAAGGATCATCCATACTCACAATGCTCAGAGTGCGAACAATACAGGCCCGTGTGGCCGGCGGCTCATCCGCCTCCAGGCCGGGCGAACTGCCCCTCGAGGAGACGGAACCGTTCAGCAACTTGCCGTTCAGCTCATCGGAGTGATGTGTCTGCTGGGAGCTGCTCGACATGCGGCCATCCAGCGAGAGATCATCCCGGTGCTGATCCTGCAATGGAATCGTTAGGGAACCTGTGCCGGGAGAGTGGATGGCCATATCACCCACCTCCTTGGGACTGGCACTTGGGCTGAATTTGATGTCCAGGCAGTTGCTCTCCATGTCGCTGGCAGTTCCATTTTCAACCGATCCCGATGCCATAATGATGCCTGTTCCCGAGGGCGACATATGCCCGTTGTTGTTGCTGCTGGCTATGGTATCGCTGTTGTTGCTGTTGCTGTTGTTGTTGTTGCTAATTTTGTTATTGTTATTGGGCTCCTTGTTAAGTGCTGCTGGCATCTGCAGCTGCTTTGTTGCAGCCTCATCGGCGGCAATCGTTGCATGTCCATTCTCCACGGTTGCCATTGCAGTTGCAATGTTGCCGTTGCTGTTTGCCTCATCATCGCCCAGCTCGTAAATGTTAACCATATGCGCGGCCTGGGCGTGGACCATCAAATCCCAGGGATTGGCGAACGCATCCTTGCAAACGGCGCACAGCAATTTGGCGCTCGTCGGTGGCGTTTCTACATTTTCACAAGGGCAACATGCGAGAATTAATTAGTTATTTAAGTTGGAATTTTCAGAGGGCAGACATCGGAGGCTCTGGCGCATAAATAACTCAATTTTAAATGCATTTGCAAGCAGCCGCAGGACATGAATCCGCCCAGACATCCTGCTGAATGCCCGAATGCCGACAGATGTTGCTGACTGGCAAACAGAGGCCTCCAACTCACAATGTGCCTTAGACAAACACTTTGGCCGGCATCGGGGTTCGGGGCAAAAAGTGTTTAACAATCATAAATTAATTGCCAACAGACAAGTTGCCACACACCCACAGCCACGCCTCAAACGCCACCCGCCCACTTACTTGCACTTGCCGCAAAGGCAACATCCTGGCACTTGCATGTGAACCTCAGCTTGCAATAACTTTTCTTGTGGTCCAATAACTCAGACAGCTCGCCAAAGGATTCCCGGCAATTGCCGCAGATTAATGTGTCCGGATTGCCTGTAAATATGCAAAGGGAATAGGTCTTACAAAACGTGTTGCACCTAAGAGAAAAACTGTGGAAAAACCAATGAAAAGGAGGTTCTCTAAAGTTCTAAGCTTACTTGCAAATCCCCCTTCTCAAAAATATTTATTTAATTAAATTTTTAAAAAATATAATTATTTTCAACTCGATCGTATGCTAATGGGCCATATTTTGAGCTCAGCCTGTAGGAGTTGCTTTTTGTCCAGTATCTTATCCCTTCTTCGTTTCTGTCGAATTTGTGAATCCAGTTTTTGATCCTTTAACTGCGTAAAGGGCTTGGGATATGGAGCTGCACCCTGAGCTCGTTTACTGCGATATCTCAGTAAGTTGGTAATGGCATTTATACGCAAATCAGGCTTAATCACGTGCCTACCAGTACGATGTTGTGGTTGCAAGGACTTTGCCTCCTCGGTATTATCGTTTTCAATATTCAGCGAAAAACTAATGAAATTGGGAGCCTTTGCAAGGGATTGCTTCAGCGGCTTAGTGCAACAGGGCAGCTTTTTTGTTGTAGATTTGGTAGAACGAGTCGTCCTAGGCTTATGAGTTGTGGACTTGGCGATACTCGGCTTGGTTGCCTTTGTTTTGGGGACCACAGTAGGTTTCGGCTGAGCTGTGGTGGTCTCCTCCACCGGCTTGTTCTTCACATCCACGGAAACCGAATCTTCCTCCTCAGTTTTGTCGGGCTCGTTTGTGGTTTCACAACCATCTGCTGTCGGCTCAGCATCGCACAGTTCTTTTTCCACACTTTTATCCTGAGCATCGTCCGCCGATTGCCCCTGTTGTTGCACCTGTTGTTGCAGCTGCTGCCGCTGGCCAAAAAAGTCGGACAACTGTTGCAGCATCTCCAGTTGCTCGGCAGTGGGTGGTGAATCCTGTGAGTCCTGTGCCTCCAGTTGTGGTGACTCCTGCCTTGTTGACAGAGGAAGAAAAGGCGGCTGGAAGAGGTGGGGCGCAGGAAACTCCTGGCTATATCGATTCAACTGGAGCTGCGGCATCTGGGAGTGAACAAGGGATCTGTGAGCTGGTGGAGAATGCCTCAGATTGGCGACATGCTCAACCTGAATCTCCTGCTGCAGACCTTCGGTATGCTCTTTAGTCTCCAATTGTGGCGTATACCTCATGCCGAATCTGATTCCTGAATTGGACTGCTTGTTGGCCAGCAGACTGCTCTTCAGGCTGAGTATTCCCTTAACGTAATCCGGCGGCAGCCGCTGCTGTGGCGGGGTTTGGGCCCAGGCGACACTGGATATGGCGGCAATGGCTGCAAGGGAGGCGATGAAAGCTGCACCTCGTGCTTCACGTTGACACATTTCTCATTTTCAGAGAAGCTGTCGACAGGCGACAACATTTTTGACACATTAAAACAGGTAAGCTTGACGGAAACTTATAGCTCAATATAGTTTAAAATAACATATATAATAATACTAAAAAAAAACTTTAAAAAAATCATAATAAAAAAACATGATATAAATAATTAATCAAGGCATTTCAGAAAGAACCACTCATTTATGAAACTTCTTCACACGATCTGAGTTTTAATTTTCAAAAATGGTATTATTCTTCTAAATATTTTCCAATCAGACTAATAATATTTTAATTTAAATTTAAAGCAAGCAAACAGTTTTAGTAACCAATCTCTTTCAACAAGTATAACATAAGAAAACAATCATTTTTCTGCTGACTTTTTAAAGTTAAGTAATTAATAGTTACTTTACGTAACAACAATTTTACAACCTATTGAAAGCTTACTATCATTGGCTTTGATTTGGTCAATCCCTAGATGAAACCACTGACAATAATTTAAAAATACTTTTTAGGTCTTATTCCCCAATTTTTCAGCATCCCTTGAGCAGACTCAAGTCAATACTCACTGTAGACTTTGAATGGTCCCCACTGCTGATGCAAACTTAATTGCTCCTGAGCATGTTGCTGCTGTTGCTGTTGCTGATGCTGCTGCTGCTGTTGTTGCTGCTGCTGCTGTTGATGTTGCTGCATCAATTGGCTGTGCAATTGTAGTGGCGTTGCCGCCTGATGAGGCTGCGGTTGCTGTGGGGACAATGCCAGAGTCAACGGTTGCAGCAACGGCTGTTGCTGTTGCTGCTGCTGCTGATGTTGCTGAAGTTGCTGATGTTGGTGATGGGTGGCGAAGGCGGCTGCGGCTCCAACCGGATACGGCTCGCCGAGCGCCGTTTGATTAGCCATTATTGCTGGCTTTGCATTTTGCGGCGATGTCGTCGCCTGGACAGCCACGCTGCTCTTCAGCTGGAATCCGAATGGCTGCTGGTGGTGCGGATGGTGAGGATGTGGGTGGTGCTGCTGCTCCTGTTTGTATTGCGACCAGTGGAGGGATCCTGGAGCCGCCGTCGCCGTTGTCGCCACTGCCGCATTGGTGAGCAGATTCTGCTGATGCAGCAGCAATTGTTGCTGCGGCAACAAATTGGCCATCGCCGCCATGGCAACGGCAGCCACCTGCTGCTGGTGCTGCTGCTGTTGCTGATGGTGTTGCTGCTGCTGCTGCTGCTGCTGCACCTGCTGCTGTTGCTGATGGACGGCGGCTGCCGCTGCGGCGGCCACCGCTGCCGCACTGTGATGGTGCTGGCCGTGCTGCTGCTGTTGTTGCTGCTGCACGGCCACCGCCAGACCGCTTCCGTTGGTCATCAGACGCTTCCGCTTCTTGGCCCGCACTCCGTTGGAGCCGCCCCCACCAACGCCCCCGCCGCCCCGCAGCAGCGCCGAGGAGCAGTAGCTGTCGTAGAAGTAATCCCTGCACAAAGATAAATTTGTATGTATTTTATTCAATATTTTGTAAAGATTAAAAGTAATATAATATTATTCTTAATTTCAATTTTATGTTTTTCTGTTTGTCTATTAATAATATAATGATAAATATGTTTAAAAAATACGAAAAGATTCATAGTTCAAGTGGCAAATAGGCTTAACACTGCAACTAATCAATGGTGTAACGTTAAAGTGTTAATAACACATTATATAGATACTTAAAGGTGTTCATTTGCTCAGCAAACATTTGCTAGCTAATTGAAGTATTAGCAGCGGTGGGACCAAAAAAAATATGTATTTAAGAATAACACCGGAAAAACCTTTAGAGTCAAAGTGTTGATACCCTCGGAAACTGAAAACAAAACACTTACCAACAAAAACATATTAAATAAAATAATTCAAACTAAACTGGAACTTTACAAAACTTAAATTATCTGTATGGCAACATTTTTTTTTTCAATTTGTGGGTGTATATTTATTTTTCAATTAAAGGTTAATTTCAACAACAATTTTAATTATTATAAATTATAAACCGTTTAGGTAATTGTGTATCATTTTGGACTGACTGAATATATAATGCATTGTGACTATTGCACTAGATTGTAAATAAATATGACCTACATTAAAATACAATTATCACTACGCTTATTTAATATTCGCTTTTATAGTTCACACATTGATCAAAACTAACTAAATAGATTTAAAGATTATTAAGAGTTTTTTTTTAAATAAATGCCATTATGCAAATAATTTGATTTCAATGCAATTTGTAATACTTTGTTTTAATTTGCTTTAGCAACCTTTCCCACTTGTCCAGATTCACTCGTAAATGTGAACACCCTCTCATTAACTGCAAATGAACAGCCTGCCAACTGTTGCCCGACCCCATTGTCAGTCAGTCACTTCCTCAACCCGGCCATCAGTCCGTCAATATTTGTTTAGGCTGCCATTGCCGCCGTTTGAATTGTCATTTGGCAATTGTGTTTGTGTTCTGGGCCTCCCGTTGGGTTATGTTGCCAGTGATTGATACAAATGCCGGAACAGGACGATGGCCCGAAACCCCTCTGGTAAGGCCAACCAATTGTGGTCAGTTGAGTGGGCGAGTGGGCGAGTGGGCAGATCCTGGCCAAGAGGGGGGGAGCAACAATTGTGGCTTTTTCGGTCAGTTTGTGTGTGGTCGATGGGGGCGGGGAAAAGGTGAGCAGCCGTTTAATGACAAACACGAGAGCACCTGGACATATTTGACACAATTGAGAGTGTGGGGGGCTGACATGTTTGCGTTTTAATTACAATCAAGTCGATGTCCGTTGGGTTCCAGTTGTGTTCCTGGTCGATGATGTCCCTTTTAAAGCCAACGCATTGCGCATTTCGTTTCGGCGTCATTAAGCTTAAATTAAATATTTCCACACGAGTAACGAAGGTCTGGAGCTCAAGGCCCGAATAAATTGTGAATGTCGCTCAGTCATCATTAAGGCCGCGCCACGACAAAGACAAACAAGTGCACATGTCAGCGCCAGGACATTATGGCATACATTGCAACTGTCACTCACAGGATCCACAGTACACTCCCATGCAGTGTGTGTGTGTGTTGATATGTTGACGCAGCACTCGAACACCGACTGACCCTCTCTGGGACGAAAAGTAAAACCGAAATGGAGACGAGAACTTGGCCTGAAGTGTTCCGGTTGGGTGCAAAAAAAACCGGCTAGCCGTTGACAGCCAAATATTTTATGCCGGACGGGCGTTGAAACAAAGGGCGACCCCATCGCCTGATGAATGGTTCTTTATATATTTATTTATTTGTTGTGCGGACCCCAGAAAACAGTCGAGAAAGCCACCCGTTAAATGATATGTAAATAAAGTCTAAGCGAATGCCACATGGCGGCGTTAAATTGAGCAAAGTAAGCTTTTAGATTAAACTGAAATGAGCCAAAAATTGACTGGAAGTCCTTGGCCTAATCCTGCGTAAGACTCACCAATCGTTTCCGGTCTTGCTCACATTCTGCCGCTTTCTTCCGATCTGATGCGCTTTCGGTTCGGCCACCATGTTGACATCTGCAAAGGAAAGAATTTGAAAATGGAAAATTTTTAATAACAAAAGGCAATCTGTTTTATGTCCCGAAAATCTAAATATACACAAATTCGGAGTCCTTTGAAGTCATTGTCTAAGCAGTACATAAAAAGCTACGAAAGACAAAGGCAGTCCTTTGTTCTCATATTCCTTTCATTATGCAAATGAATGTTCGAGCTGTAAGTGATTAAAAATATTTTGTGTTTTTTTTTTTAATGTGCATGTCCATTGGCCAACTGCATTCCATGGTTAATTCAATCTGGCTACACACCAATCATTAATCTTAATAAAAGAGCGCCAAGCCCGGAATTGTCAGTTCTTATTTATGCATAAAAAAACCATGATGCAGAGGCTACAGCTACAGATAGTCGAAGTGTATATGCTCTTAAATAAATAAATATATAACAAGTATATATATTGCTAAGATTTAAATTGCTTAAGCAATTGCAGTTAAACTTTATTTGCAATATAATTGTGTATTAAATTATATTAAGTATTTCTGTCTATTTACCCAAAAGGGTATTTGTGATGGCCAACCGTATTTGATTTCCCATTGAAAAGGGTGCGACAGGGGCTGTTTATGGAAAGCTATTTGCGGGAGGAAAGAATTTGGGGAAGGGACACCCATCCGCAACCCAAGCAGCTCGTTCATCATAATTCATGACAAAGTTTGAAGTGCGACGGCTGTGCCTTGGAAAAAAAGAGAGGGAAACCAAGAGCTATCTATAAATTGGTGGGTTCGGTAAAAAAAATAAAAAAAAAAAAATACAAGAAGAAAAGAGGGCGTGATGGCTTTGCCACTTTCTTTTCTCAGCTGTTCTGTTTCGTTCCTGGCTTTCTGGTTATTTGTGCTTCCCTTTTCCTGCCTCACTGTCCGACTGTTGGGCTGGCAGGCTATAATTAAGATTAAGGATAAAAGCGTAAGAAGGATTTGCACAAGTTCCAGTCGACCAGCAAGCCAACACCCCGCTTTTCCCCCAGTGTAAATCTCTTTAGTTGTGCCAGCCGCATTTTCCAGCGCTTCAAAGTCAATGGCGCGTAGCAATGAAATATTACGCCGGCCACTCCGTTGTTGGTTCTCTTATTCCTAATCAGTGGAATTAGCATTTCACATTTTGCAGTCCGCATTTGCATAAGCGGGACTCATTTTTATGAGAGCTGCCGCATTCCGCTCTGTTCGCCGGCGAACGGGGCGTATGAATATGAAGCATCCGCAGCGTTGCCGCCAGCAGCAGAAAAGCATCATCAGCCGACACAGAGCACTAAGTGCATTAACTTGTTCTCCACACGAGACACGCACTGGAGAAAGCAAAAAAGAAATGAGGCAAGTGAGACTCGCAGAACCGTCAACATGGCAGCTGCAACTGGCGTTAAATTATTTCATTAAACGCTGAGCGGTGAACGCCGAACGACTAGACTGTCAGATAGTCAGGGAAAATTCACAGATACAAAAGACAGTCGACTGTCTGGCACAACATTGAAATTTCATTAAAAGTATCGTGCCAAGATTTATGTCGGCCGCACTTTAAGTTTTTGCGGCCGGCAGCGACTTCCGCCCGTCGAAATACTCAGACATTATGTTAGTCGTGGGGTGCCCAGAGATATGGCCACTACACATGCCAGGATCGAGGCTCCTTCATTACCATTGCTTACTACTATGTAAGCCGTGAGCCGTGAGCTGTGAGCCAGGACAGGCCAACCCATCTGCACCTCCCGTTTTTCCCGGCGCCTTTGTGGCTTTTTTCGCGCGTTTGTTCGATTTTAGTGCAACGCTTCCGCTGCCGGCGGCCATTAACCTGACGACTCCACTCCGCCCAACTCCTTTTGGGCCCACGTAACTGGCGATATCCCACGGACATGCAACTTTGGCCAAGGCGAGGACGAGGGTTAAGGTCTGGAATGTCTATGCAAAGCAGCAGCCTTCGTTAGCACGGATTTCAAGGCACACGCCAGTCGCACAGATTTAAGACAGCTTTTTGCCCACTTTTAGCTACATGTGAAACGTTAA